TCACATCTTCCTTGCAGAGAAAAGGGAGTGATGATGCTGTGACTTTTTTGTGCCGGAAAGGTTTCTGAACATCCTGTCCTCTGACAATGTCAGAACGTTTCTTCCAGACCATAAAAAGCCAAGGAAAAAAAAGATCACCAAATAAAAATACAGCCCTTCATCATGGTGCTTAATTCAATCTATTATAAACAAGTATTAGCATTGACAATGTCAAGTCCATCCGTCAAACAAAGAATCTACTCTCCTACAAACAGTAGCTCATTGTTTGCATCTGTTTCGTTGAACAGGCCTCAAAGTTGTTTCCACTAAATGTCCAAAATGCCCAATTATTGTTTTATTTTATACCTGATTTTTAGTTGTCTGGCCACAGCACACTTACTAGAACTGGGCAGCTAAAGACGACTATGCACGGAGCTGCACACAGAGCCAAGCACGTTTAAATCCTTTCAGCATCCAGTGCCAGCAGGTAGATCATGGGATGCTGAGGAAAACTTTGGGTGAGAAACTGCAGGTAAAATGCAGGTTTTTTCATGCATCATATACTGCATTTCAGTTAACAGCTGTACTGCTTCCAGTTTACACAAAATATCAAACGTGCAGGTGTTACAGATTCCACTCATCACAGAATCATAGACAAGCAGAGAATGGTTTGTGTTGGAAGCGACCTTAAAGCTCACCCAGTTCCACGGGCAGGGACACCTTCCACTAGAGCAGGTTGCTTCAAGCCCCTGTGTCCAACCTGGCCTTGAACACTGCCAGGGATGGGGCAGCCTACGCAGCTTAGAAACCAGATTAAAGCATTTCTGCTCATGGCTAGAAGTACCAATGAGAAGTCTGACTAAACCCTAGTTCTCCAAGCACAGAAAACAAATGAACATATATTCATTTAGAATTTAACTACAGCTCATCTTCATTGCTCCCCAAGATTTACAACATTCAGTGTCATATAAACCACGCATGTGAAGAACACAAAGCTTTTGAAATACTAGTTCCCCCCCCCCCAGGAAATAAATAACCTACACAATTTCTCAGTAAACTGGTGTTCACCCTTAGCTATAAGCCAGAAAAGACAACATCTAGAGCTGGGGGCTAGATCAGAAAAGCACAGGGAAAAACAATTACTTTACAAGGGGCAGAGAACAACTATCTTTGTGTTCAGAAAGCAGTTTTGAAGATAAACATAAAAGGTCCTTCAAAAGTTCTTTAGAAACCAGTGATGAAGAAGAACGTGGAACAGGGATTTACAGAGAAAACAGAGCTTGGGAACTCTACCAAGTTGCTAATCAGGTTTATTACTCTATCATCAATTCCTGTTTCTCAGCTCCATCTGCATGGGTGGGAACACAGAGGATTGTTTTGCCTATGCTGAGAGAGAGAAGGTAAATTCAAAGCGCTGTGCTGGCAGCATCTCCTTGAGCAAAGGAGCGGATTCACCCATCTACATGGAGCAGCTGGACTGACCCTATAGCAGGAAGCAATGTTGGCCCCACTGGCCACAGCTTTTAGTCAATGGAACAGTTGCAGAGCATGGATGATCCAGATTTGATGCTGAAAGACAGCTTTCTATAGCTCCTAAAATCTCAGAGATGGATTGAGGGCAGGCAGGTTCACAGGCATGAAGTTTTAAAGCTGTCTAAGAATCAACAGAGGGAAAGGTCTTTCTGTGAAGAGTATTTCCAAGAAAGCTTTTTAATTTTTCTACGTGTTTTCAGGTTGAAAAACCTCCCTATTATCGCTGAACATAGCACTAGCTATTCCACTAACTGCAGCAGCACAAGGGTACCAAACCAGACTGGGCTCTGAGCAGCTATTCCTCTTTGAAACACAGCACTGTATAATCCTGCTCTGAGCGAGTTTAGACAGCATGGTGGGAAAAACACTGCTGGTTGCTGGCACCTTGCCTAATGTAAGCATTCCT